TCCCTTCCAGCCTTAATGTCTATGAAATCTATGAAATATCCAGTGTGGGTTTGGATATGCTGGCTAATGACTTCTGACTGGCAGGAGTTATTGTACTTAGACCACACCATGTGATGTATATATATACACACTAGAGCAAAAGTAGTTTAGAAATGTTACAAATGTTTTAAACCTTACAGCAGTGTTACTTTTGCACATTCCTCTGTCTAGAGCAGTGGTGCACAGTGTTTTCATCCCACGGGCCAAGTGAGAAGTCACAGATCCTCTGCAGATCAGATCTGGTCTATGGGCCTAATCCTGCCGTGCAGGGCCAGCTCAGACTAAGCCTGATCTTGCTGTGTGGGGCTTCCCTGGCTGGTGCCAATCCAGCCATGTGGGGCTTGGAAATTTGGGACAGTGGTGGCAGTGTCAATTGCCACTGCTCCCCTGCGGTCACATTTCTGGACCGATAGAGAGCCAGATGACATGGCTCCCTAGGTGGATCTGGCCATGAACCAGGGGGTAAGCACCCCTGGTCTAGAGCGCCAGTTACTTTAGGGTTTTTCTGGGTGCAAATCAAATCAATGTCTATAAAATAATGAAGGGTCTCAATACACTAAATAAGGATCTGTTATTCTGTTTTTACACTGTGGGCACATCTACATGAGATCCTGTCACTGTAGTGATGCTCTACAATGAGGTAGCATCCACAGGTGTTTACACATGACCAGCAGCTACTTCACTGTAGTGGCATGCTCCCCCGTTATAGCGCACCACTACGGCAAAGTAACTGCTAAAAATAACCGTGTGCTATACATACGGAACGGTACAGGCGCTTCCTGCACCACGCTTTAGTACTTTCAAAAGGTAGCACTTTTGTGCCTCTCCTTTTGGAAGTACTAAAGCATGGCGCAGTAACAACGTCACCATAGGAAAACGTGTAGATGCGCCCTGTGTGTAGTTAACTTGTGGAACTTGTTGCCACAGGAACTTGTAGAGGCAGAGCATAGTCAGGTTCAAAAAGGGATTAGACAAATGAATGGAGATCCATTAAAAGGTATTAAAAAAAGAAGTGTCAGGGATATATCCTCCAACATCCCTAAACTAATGGTGGTTGATGCCAAGGATGGTATAACTGGGGATGGATACCTCTAGATGTGTCCTGTATAAATACTCTTCCTCCAAGCATTTAACACTTACCATTGTCAGAGCCAACATACTAGGCTAGACAGACCACTGGTTTGACATACTATGGCATTTTTTATGTTCTTAAATCAGGCCTTTTATACAGGGAGAAATTAAAAGTAATATTCTTCAAAACTTCCCTAAAATAGTTGGCCCATGCTAAAAGCCACATGAAGCCCATGGCAGTTTTTCTTTGTCAATGGTAAAGGAAACTGGACTAAACCCAGGAGACAATTCTGGCTGTTTTTAGTGTAGACCAAAGAGGCAAACATACAGTCCACAGGTTATAGCTCCCATTTTCTCTGGCCTCCAAGGCTTCCACAGGGGCCGGGAATTTTGGGGGTGGGGCCTGCCACAGGATTCATGGCTACAGGGCCTCAGTCAGGACAGGGGTGCAAGTAACAGCTATGCTGACACAGTACCGCCTGCTCCATTGTTGATCAAGTCACTGCTGCCTGCCCTCCTGTCACTTGTGCCACCCTTGCTGCTTGCCCTGCTGCCATCTGCCCTACTGCTGTCAGGTCCACATCTGGCTTGCAAGAAGCCCCATGGCTCCTTGGACCCTGGCCTGGGCACAGGGTGAGTTTGACATCCCTGGTGTAGGTACGTTGTGCTTTACCACTATCTAGCCCCAGCACAGGTAGGCCTGCACAGGAGCCTGAGGCACATTGTCAGGGTAGGGCTGGATGTAACAGAGGTCTGTCCTATCTTGTCCCACCCCGGAAAACACCCTGCTTCCCCCCTATGTTGAGAGTAGGTGCACAAACATGTGGAGGAAGTAACAGAAGCACTTCTGCTAGCTGCAGGAGATTTGTCTTGCTCAGGGGATATTCTGGCTGCCCTTCTTCAGCCATGAGAAGGATGCAACTTGAAGTAGCATGAGCACACTGGAGAAACCCGCCCTGTCTCTGCCAGTGCTTTGACTCCTGGACTTGTGAACAAGTACGAACTACAGAATACCTGATGGAGCTTGTAACAGTGGAGGAGCCTGAAAATACCACCAATAAGCAACAGAGAAATCCAGACAAGTCAGTTCACATGGGAGAAAAACTAAGCTGAAGCTGCTTTTAGGAGATACTGTCACAGCTCAGCCTTATTCTCAAGGGGATTTTTTTAAATTAGATATCGGGTGATTAGTCCAGTGGGTGAACAATGTGACATAAGCAAGGGAGGAGTGAGGGATCTTAGAGTGGGCCAGATTCCCCAAAAAGTTACACTGGGAACCTCCCCAGAAAAGGAGGAGTAAAAAAGTGTCTGACAACCTCAGTGAT